CCTGGCTGTTAGGGAAATTCAGCTCAGGTCTATCTGCTCCTCTAGACTAAGCAAGATAATTTGACAAGTACAATAATGTATAACAGCAGTATGTGTCCTGCTTGACCTCTGGCTGAAAACCACTTATTTCAAATACCAGGATACAGTTTACATGTAAAAAAATGCAGCTAATGTAGATTTGTGTCTCTGTGGTGTGATTCTACACTAAACAACATGTACACAAACTGTAGTACTTTCTGTAGCATTTTTAAGATTTTATGATTAGACTTTGCTCATTAATAATATGTACATATAAAAAAGGGAATCATATCAATCCTACAGCTTCCCCCTTCTCTCCATCCTTCCCAGGGGTCCCAGGTGGTCCAGGAAAGATGTCCTCAGATAAGGTTCCTGGAGGACCTGGCTTTCCTGGGGGGCCAGGAGGCCCTGGAGGCCCCTGACAACACAAGCCAACATTTACACAGAGGAGAAATGATGTAGATGATCATTTGTATTTGGTCAAAATGCAATGCAAATCATTATTTAAAAAGTTCAACCACTTGACATTGTTTGAATATTCAGACAATAATGAGACAAAGAAAAAGAAACACAAGATGAAATCAGCTTTAAATATACAATGCAACATGTCAAGCCATCAAGTCAAGGGCAGATCAACAAGGTGCCACAAAACAAGAATGTAAATATCATTATACCACACTTCACTCACTCTAACAATCTCTGCATCTTCAGAGTCTTCAAATCCTGACCCCTCCTGATGAAAACACACCACATGACTCATTAGTTAGTCAATTCTCTAGCAGTTAATGAAATGATGAATCACTAGAATTGAGACTTTCAGGCTCAAATGTGTCATATTTTGATTTTGCCTAAAACTAGCTTTTACAGTCTCATTGTAAATAGCAGCTGATGCTCACAATAAATAGGAGAGCTGCAACAGAGCACAGCTCTGGCAAATGTTAAGAACAGTAACCTCTGCAAAACAAAAACAAATGAACAGTCTGTCAACAAATGAGCTTCAAGGATTCACTTATGTGGGCTTCATGTGGTCCGGTCTGAAATACGTGATGTGTAACCTCCTCTGAAATCAAGCTACAGCTGAGGCGATTGTGCATCTATTGCAACAGCTACAGAGCTTCAACCCAACAAGCCAGTCTTACTGTACTTTAGTCTGGAGTTGGATGTAAATGTTTCTGAATGGAGTGTCAAAAACAATAGTAGATCAGATTTTGCTAACACAAGAGAAGGTTAGAAAAAATTACTTAACCTACCAGGGGCATGGAAGACCTGCTCGGGGGTCCAGGAGGCCCAGGAGGACCTGGCAGTCCAACACCAGGGTCACCCTGAGGAAGACGGCAGTGGGATGCTTGTTTATTTACACATTTACTGATTTTTACATTGGTATTAGTCTATGACAATTCACATGTAGGAATGAGTCTGTAAATGCCCTGAGTATTTACATTCTGACCATATTCATGCCCAGTTACTATGGTAGCGGGGGTTCATTTACCTTTTCTCCCTTAGGCCCAGGCTCTCCTGGCAGTCCTGGGAATCCAGGAGTCCCTGGGGCTCCCTGGGGAAAAAAAATACAATTCTAGCCACATCAGAAATCACAAGTCCTGTAACACAGTTTGAGTTCTGCCCACTGACACTTTGTCCTGCTGTATGTCATGAAGCATCAGGAATGAGACTAAGACTTTGAACCCAATCTAGTGACATAGGTCAGCAAAGGGAACAGACTGGATCAGCATTTAGTGCCAGCTAATATATAAAGCAACTCTCTAGATGAGTATGGGTATGTTGACAATGGATACATTCTTGCATTAATTTTCCCCTGAGACGCTAAAAAAAAAAAAAAAAAGAACTCCCACATGAAGGAGCATCACTTACTGGGACACCAGTTTCACCTTTGCTTCCCTAGAGAGATAAAAGATGGGACTAAAATAAACAACAGAACATTGTTCTTTATGGATCATGTTCTACACAGAGAAAACTACATAGTTTAAAAATCAAATATTATCAATGTTTAAAAAAAGGACAAAACTCACAGGCTGTCCGTCTTTCCCAGGAACTCCGGGAAGACCTGAAGGTCCCTGTGGTCCCTGTGGACCCTGTGGTCCAGGATCTCCCCTCTGTCCCTCTCCTGTGGCTTGTCCTGGAGGCCCAGGGGGTCCTGGAGGGCCGGCAGGACCTGGTTCACCTTGCTCCCCTTTCTGTCCTGAAGATACCTGGAGGGACTGATGATTATATGTGTCCACTGTGGGGGATGGAGTAGCTGTTTCAGGTGATAGTACTGTGACACAGACACAGTGAGCACATTAGAAATGAATCACTTCAACTTTATTCCAAAGATTATTGTAATTTATTGATATTTGAAATGGTACAACTATTATTCAGCATGTAGTTTGGCCGAATTCATCTTAGTTTACAGCAGAAAAAAGATTTGGTAAAGGAAGGTTGCAGCAATATTCTGCCAGTCAGCACCATCTACTGGCTGATTTGAGAAACAGCTTGCATGAATGTGATCTGTGTGCTTTTGGCTCATATGTGCAAGCAAAACGTCTGTGAAAACAACTTCAAGTTAATGGCAATAAGTGATTTGTTTACCTTCAACTATGGTCATCTCTCCCTCCTCCTCTCCAGTGTCTTCATCATCATTATCGGCTGGTGTCGCTTCAGTGGGCGGATCAGAGACAGGGGTGGGGATGGTTGGCAATGGCTATAAAGCATATTGTGAAAACAAACAAGCAAATGCCATAATCTGTCTCAACCAGGCCTATGAGTTGTTTTCTTTGGTCCAAGTCCAGCTTAGCTAGAAGCAGGGACAGGTGGTGTGTACGAGTGTGTGTATGTATGCTACACACCATGGTATACTCTCTCTCCTCCACAATCTTCTTCACTTCCTCTCTACTTTCTACATCTTCATAAACATCATCACCACTTCCATATCCAGAGGCCTGGACAGGGAAAAATGGGGGTAATTATTAAATTCTTTTCAGTAGACAAATTCCATCTGAGTTCAAGTTGTGCCATGAGAGAATTAAATTAGGGATCTGGTCAAAATGCACATAGGAAAAAAGAAAAACACAAAAACAAAATACTTGCAAACCCAGAGTTTCTGTCAAGACATTGGTTGATTAAAGTTTAATAAATGCAAAAAAAAAAACTAGCTATGAAAAGTGATTAGTTGTAAATGAATACAAATTGGAAACCCAAATACACATAGAGGAAAATCAACATTTCAAAGCATAATGACACATTACAATCATTTGTATAACTATTTAGTCCTTTGTTCCACTTTTGGTACATGTGGGAGAAATTAGAAAACTTGAATTGACTGAATGAAACTCTCCATAACATAACGTGGTGTAAATTATGATATTCTGTTATACTACAGCGTATGGACAGAAGTGAGTGGACTCCCAAACATTACATAAATGTGTCGATATAAGCACGTGTGTCATGTTAAAACAGAAGCAGGTCTGGAAGCACACTGTTGTCAAAAATATCACCGCATGCTGTCCCTTGACTGGACTACAGAGGACCTAATGCACCAAAGTATTACACTACTGTATATGTGGTACAATACATCCACAAACCTTTGGCCACAGTTTAATGTAATGCACATTTGTCACCTGTAGAGGGAGTGACACATCCAGGTTTGGACTGCCTGGGCTGTGTGCCCTTGAGGAGGCAGTAAAGTTACTTTTTTTCCACTCAGAGTGTGTGTTTGTGCACACTCACATAAGGGTCATCCTCCTCACACTGGTCATCTGGGGCCGTGGGATCTGACTTCAGCAACAGCTGCTGGATGGAGCCCTGGAGAGAGTGAGAGAGGAGTGCAGGACGAGAGCCTGTATTATGTTACATGATAATTTGGTTCAGTCATGAAATTTAATTGATGCTTCGTGTATATTTCCCACATACCAGCACATTGCCTCAGTTTTTTTGGCATAACAATTTATCTCTCTCCCTCCCTGATTAACTCATGCATTATTCCACACATACACAACAGCACACATTAGCACAGATCATCACTCCACCACAATCACCTGACTGTCTCCCAGTGGGTGTCTCACTCGTGTCCAACCTATGCTCTAAAAAAAACCTTCACATTGACCGACAAGCACCAGTCTATGATAAGAATATTTGTCCAGTAAATTCACATACAAAACACTTCTGAGCTGTCAAATACTATAATCTCATCAAATATATGCAACTGTAAATATAATTAGTCATTCACTATTCATTCATCCACCCCTGTAGATACAGATTTTTAAAAACGCCAACAAATCAGAGAAGAAGAGGTGTACTAAAGGTTGTAAAGCCTGGTTTTTGTATTTAAGGTCACAGGTTATATATTTTTCTAGCTAATCCTCCAGCCCTGAGATGATTTATTCTGAAAAAGAATTGCTGGTAAGTTTTATTATAAGCTTTTCTCTCATTAATAATTTCACTTGGACAAGTTTTAGGTTCAACATCTTCATACCACTGAAAACTCAGATTGTTTTGGTTGTACTTGAGTCAAACAGACAGCACATAATTAATGATATCTTCTTTACACTAAACAGTTTTCTGTTTTTCCTTCTGCTGTTACACTGAGACAGATTCCACTTAAATGGCAGCCCCGCATATATGGTGTAGAAGAAAGCGCTAAAGCATGTACTGCAGAGAGTGGAATACAGCGTTGCATGTATTCCTACCTCTTCTTAGCACCCCCTCATTTTAACCACACAGAAATATCTTTTAACAACAGATGCATGGGAGTGGAACCTCCACCCTTACATCCCTGTTTGATACTTTTTAGCTAAAGAACTGGCAGTTGCAGACAAAGATGAACTCAGATAAAATACTATCAGTGGTAAATGTAAATCAAATACAGCTCATCTTTTAAGAGCTCTCACATGTGGCCATTCATTCCTCATCTCCAGAGGTGATCATAAAGCTGCCAACAATGACTATTGTGTTCAGGTCTCAAATGTAAAACAGGCAACCACCCAAACGCCACGTCAACATCCATCCTCAACTGATTGATCTAAATGAAGAGCTATACTCAAACACAAGAGACACAGGGAAGGAAATTGTGGGTTCATCCTGTAATTGTGAGACATGATGAGTGGGCAGGTTTGGCTGACAGAGTATGTGCACACATACACAAATAGTCCAGTAAGTCCAGTCCCGTGCCGACTCACCACAAACCTTGCCAGACCCGTCCCCCCAGCATTTCCTATGAAGATACCAGAGCTGGCCTCAAAAGTTAGAGGCCGGAGGCTCCTGGTAAAGGCAACTCGGTGGTATTCCTCACAGTCCATGTAGAGACGCACCTGAGGGATAAGAGTTAAAAAGCTCTCAGCTTAGTCTAATTTTATGGCAACATCCTCACATACAGTATTAAACATCTGCAATAGGTAAAACTGTCTCATGTAGTCATCTCAAAAAAGGACTGAAAGCAACAATTTTCGGAGAAAATTCAAAATTTTTTCTACAAAGTAACAAACTACATCACAGTAATGCTAAAGGTCACATTTTATTTGTCTTCTTACTGTAGGCAATGACATGACAAGACTGAAACAACAGAGAATTAACCTAATTACAAGTTTTTCCTGTGTCGTCTTTTACCGCTCATTCATCTGTGCAACAGACCTCCATTGACAAAAACATCCGTGAGCCAGTTTTGAACTCTGTGTTCTTTCATTATGATGCATCTGGACAATGAGCAAATCCTACAAATGGTCATGTTGTTGGAAAAAACAAATCTAAATAAAAAATATCCCCTAACAAATACACAGCTTACACTTGTGTGAGGAATGTTTGCTATTCATTGCAGTGCCAGTAAATGACTTAACTTTTTTAAAATAAAAGTATATTTTGAAACATTTTTAAAGATTTACACATTTTAGTAACACAATGTTTGTACCCCAAAGGAACACACAGATAATCAGATGAGTTCATGGAGGTAAGATTCAAAAAGATCCTTTTGTTCTGTTGTTTTTTGCGCTCCAGTGCAATCCAGCTGATTACGTCTCCCGGTTTTATATGCAGTGCAGAAATCATTAGATCTAACACATCTTGATTTATTAATGCCAAAATCCCATTCATACCGAGATGAATTAAACACAGTACACCCACCTCTGCCCCCTGCACAGTCAGGGTGAACCTGGCCCACCTTCCTGTAAGGTCGCCCATTTTAAAGGAAGCTGCCTCTTGAGTCCCACCTCTTGTTCCTGGGTCAGTGTAATACAACACAACCCTCTGGGAGCCATCCTCCACCTCTGACAGTGCTACACCTAGGTGTACAATCTAAACAACAAAACCAGAAGATGCAGAAAACCATAGTTTACATATGGCATAAACAGGAAGGTGGAGTTAAATACACTGACATTACCTTTTGGTAAGCATCAGTAATGGCGAACAACACCCCACCATGCTGTGTAGTGGGTTTAGCTGTGACCGTGATGGCAAAGTCATAATGGAAAGGGTCAGGAATGAAGGACTTGGTGAGGCGGCCCACGTTGGCGTCCCCTCTGAAACTGTAGGCGGGGTAACCTTCAAAGCCAGTAACAAAGGACACGGAGGGCGGGAGAGGAACGCCGATTAACTCTGTAAGGTCCAAGGCTCCCTGAGAAGCATGGTCTGCAAAAACCAGATAGAAAGGTGGAAACATTATTAGTGGAGGGGAAAGGATGAGTATCAGAGTCCATCACTGCACTGCTACACCTTTACCAAACAGTCATCAAACAGCGAGGATTAGAATATGGGGTAAACTGAATTTCACTAGAACATTTTATACACTTTGCTGTCTAATAGTATCAACAGTCCCTTTTATAACAGTCACTGCAATTACCTGCAGCCTTTAGCCAACTTCTCAGGTGAAGTGAAAATCATTTAGTTAATGATTCATGAACTGGCACAGTTTTCTAATCACAGTATAGTAGTTTGGTCTAGGCCTACATATCCAGGCTCTGGGCAAAGGTCCGAGAACGTGTGTCTTCAGGAGCCTGCAAACAGTTTTTGGTGATGGATGCTGTGAAAGCCTGGAACTGTAAAACAATCTGACTGATCTATAAAAAGATTCCTCTTTATTATTTATCACATTAATGCAACCTTTTGTGTCCCCGTCAGGATCTTGTAGGAATGAGCACTCAGTTTTTCCAGTGATCTGATGGCTGTTGGCAGGTTCTGATCCAATCTCATGACATTAACCTGCTCCGGAGCAGGCTAGCCAAGCAGCATATGTCACCATGATGATCCAGTCCAATTAAAAGTGAGCCAGCTTCACTATACTGTAAAACTTGAGTTAATCCCAAAGACAGCTGGACAAGCTACTAATCTGGTTTGTGATACAGGCCCCTGCTCCTGAGCAGGTTAACTTCAGAGGATCAAATCACAGCCTGGGGATGAGAGGAGCCTGTCCTGACTCCAGGTGCTCAGAATGCATTCCTCCTGCTCCTACTTCAGCCTCTCTTCCATATTGTGCCTGGCTGTGCTCAATATGTGCCAGCGCTGGTGGTCACAAAAATTGCACAGATTTGTTGAACACAACCATGTGCACCTTCGTCTGGAGTTTAGACTTGTGTTTGCCTCTGTGTCCTATATAAGTAAAATTGAGCCAATGGTCTTTCTCCCAAAGACCCATCATCTCCCACAGCATCTCTTCTCTCCTCCTCTCTCTGTCAGACACACACATGCTGTGGTTTTATTCCTTGTGGGGACTTTATGTTGACTTACAGTCATTTCCTGTTGACTTATCCCAACCCTAACAACTAACCCTGACCCTAAACTTTAACCACACTGCCACCCTAAAATTCAGTGATTTCGAGTCCTCCCTGGAGTTTAGACTTGTGTTTGCCTCTGTGTCCTATATAAGTAAAATTGAGCCAATGGTCTTTCTCCCAAAGACCCATCATCTCCCACAGCATCTCTTCTCTCCTCCTCTCTCTGTCAGACACACACATGCTGTGGTTTTATTCCTTGTGGGGACTTTATGTTGACTTACAGTCATTTCCTGTTGACTTATCCCAACCCTAACAACTAACCCTGACCCTAAACTTTAACCACACTGCCACCCTAAAATTCAGTGATTTCGAGTCCTCCCAGTGTGAGTGTGTTAACAAGTTTCAGTCCCCATAATATATGTAACACAAAGGCACTCAGAGAGCTCACCACACCTGGTTCTCCTTAGTGAGAAGGTCCCTGGAACAACTGTCTGTTAGTTTAGTGTGTACAGGCAGCAGGGTATAGAAGCTGGGCGTCTGGAAGGCATTACGTTAGACTAATACACGCGTGCTGCACAGCAGCAGCTTCTGTAAATCAAGTTTTACCATGTGGATTGTAAGTGTGTGAAGGAATGACAGAGAAAGAGAAAGGGGAAAATTTTAGGACTTCTGAGTGCAGGGTGTGTGTGTGTGTGTGTGTGTGTGTGTGCGCGCACGTGGCCAGTAAGGCTCACCACAGGAAGCAATGCACACATCCTCCACCGCACATTAACTGAACTGAAACCCCTATGGTCTGTAGCAATTAAAAAACAACAGTGAAGTGCAACCCACACCGTTCTGCTGTATAACCTCCACTGTAGCCAACTTAGCTGAACTGTAGTGGTCTCATTTTAGCCAAGCAACTCTGGATGCTATACTTGTGGTTCAAGAGCTTGGGAGCTGTAATCTTGAACTACATCCACGGAAAATTTGGATCTGAAAACAAAGTGTGGCTTTTCAAGGTTTTAAAAAAAAAAAAAAAAAAAAAAAGTGTCCACATTTAAAAGAGCAAAACAGCAGCAAAATGGTCCCTCTAAGTGTCTTCTTCCTCATCTTTTCATTAGCAACCACACAAAGAAGTATAGACTGACAAATATCTTACTAAGCTGATGCAGCGGAATCTAAGTCTGCTGAAACTAATCAAGAAATATTTTCCTCTTTACCCCCTTTTCTGATTCCAGACAAGCCTAAAAACAATAACTGGTGATTGGCTCATTGGCTGCCTCGCCTCTATATTAAACCTCTGCTCTATATCTTCTGTGCTGTCAGTGGTAAAGTCCTGCCAAAGCGCGTCTGCCAGCAGCAGTTCAACCTGTCACTTCTCTCTGTCTTTGCCAAAAAGTGACATCACTTCAGATGTTCCTAACAGCTGGAAGGATCACCATAGAAACTAAAAGATACACTTGTTCAAGTTCTCATTAGGCAGCAAGAGGTTTGCAGAATCAGTGTTTGTCTGGTGTTATGCATGCATTTAAACAAACAGCTGACCATGTTGAGGAATGTGGCTGTTTGGCGAGTTATGGATTATTTGATCTTAATAATAGTGTGACTATTAAAAGTGGTCAACAATCCAGCGCAGGATGATGTCAGCTGGGAGTAATTGTAGCCGGGGTGTGACTTCTCAGAGTAATAAGGTTTGGCTGACTGAGCACCACTGGCACTGGAAAAGGGCAAGAGAAAGAGCAGAGAGAGGCGCTCAAGAAATACAGTGCACATCCTGTGGCCAGTGCTCACACTGATAACTTCAAGGTTCATGAATGAAATAAATGATGCTACCTGAAGATAAGTCTGTAACAGGGTGCTTGAGAACAAGATGATGTGTCGGACCACTGGAGTTTAAATGATAATTTTAGCAGCCACACAGTCACAACATAGTTTATTTCATGACCTGATTTTGCTGATTTTTGTTTTAATGCTGCGTGACTTCACATCAGGGGAGGAATGTTTTCTGCCTATACAGGAAGTCAGTGAGATTTTGCCAGTGCTTCAGAAACAAAGAACAAGTGCTTCCATTTATGAAAAACATAACTTGAGGAAAAATCAGCTGTCGATGACAACGGCTTCAGCAGACTATGATGAAGTGGGGCTCTGTTGCATTATGGGACAGTAGAAATCAGGGTATTTAGTGTTTGTATGCCTGTTCCCTTTCCAAATGAGCAACAGCTGATCCCAACACTGCTGTCTCCACACGACTGTTTCTTAACTGGATCAGTATGTGTCTGACTGAGAATACCCCAGTGTGACACAGTCCAGGCTGCAGTGAAATGTTGAAAGAGATGTCAGAACAGACAGCTAATGGTAAAACTCTCACACTGGTATTGTCTCTTTGCTTGTTTAATATGCACACTCACATGATGGATGCACAACCTACTTACATTTTGACCTGAAAAACTCTGTCTTCTGATGCACACATGTATATTTTCTGATCCAGCAGCACTTGCAATGGAACAGGTGATTATAAGCTCAGAGAACTGGTCCCTGTCACACTATAATAACCGCCACTTCAGACAAAATGACAGTTGCCGCCGGTCTGACTAGAGATCATAATAATGTGGTGATGATAGATACGGTCTTTAAACAGCTGTCAGTCAGCCCACAGCAGTTTATAATGAGCTGTCACACCTGATGACAGACTCTGAGCATGGAATGTAATCAAACCTCAGACAAATACAACTCTACATTAATCAGACAGGCATTCACACGCACACAGACGGGCCTGCTTCAGCAAAATAATCCAGAACAAATGGATCATAAAGTTCTCCCAAGCATGCAGAAATACAAACACTCACTGTTGTGCAGCACATGCTCTGTCGCTGTGGTCAGATCACATCTTACAAACGCACTACTCCTTCTGCCAGGTCCCATCATGATGTGTAATCATGTCTGCTCCCCAACATCTCAAACTTGTATAAAGAAACATTTGACAAAATCAACAAATAGCCCAATCATGATAAAATCCAAAAGAATGAAAAGTGATTTCAACAATGAGGTATGATAGCGGACAAAAACAACATGGGAACACTGATGTAATAATTTGAAAATTTCTGCATGCTGTAAAAAAAAAAGTTACTTCTGGCCAGCAGATTTAGAAATAGAATGTCCAAGTGTCCCTGAATGCAACAGCAGGGGATGCACCTGCTGACAATTGCATTATCAGGCAACACTAACTCGCTTTTGACATAATTATAAAGACAAATTATAAATATGAATAAATCAAATAGCTGCTTAGAAGGCTGGGAATCAGATCTATGTCATCTGGAAAATGATTAGTGGTATAAAACACTTGTTTTGTGGAGAACAGACCAAAACATGCAGAAACACTGCATGCACCACACAGCGCTTCAACAACTGTTACATTTGGAAAAGGTTCATTGATGACCAGCTGTGCTCCTGAAAGCTGTGTAATGGCAGAAGGTTTAAACAAAAGTAGACTTAAACCGGGATTTCAGCTCTATTCAACAATCAGACAAACCTGATTCCTTAAGACTTTTCAAATGCTTTCATTCAAAAGGATTACAGTATTGGATTGACAGAGCAGGGGTGATGTCAGCGATGGGCTGTGAAAACTAGAAAGTTCCAGGTAAATTACTAAGTCCACACAGCCTGCATATTTATCTTCTGAGTGTATACGTGCATGTGTGGTCAGCTGAGACTCCCATTTAGCACAGAGCTGCTCTGTTAGCAGTGGAAGTGTCACGTCTAGGCAGTCATTAAGCAGAGCAGAGCCATGGGTAAAATAAGATCAAAGACTGTTAAAAAGTGAAACCTAAGTACAAGGATGCATCTTAAAATCAAGGTAACAGATGGTTGTTTTTTTGTCTGACAAGATAGTTCTTGATTTTCAGGCAGTTTTTACAGTAAAACACCTCACATGTTTCA